GCAGGAGGAAAACGTGGACCAAGAAAAGATAATATTGTAGGAGTTAGGCCAAAAGACCCAGTAGACTATGGAAATCTACTTAATATTGTAGAACAACAAGGAAAAATGATAAAGAGAATGTTAAAGAAAGGGGTAAAACAGAGTGACTATGCTCGGAGGTTAAAAAGACTGAAATAATTGAAGAAAAAGAAGTTACAACAGCAATGAAAACACAGTTTATAATAAATGATAGGGAAATCGAAGTAGTAATAGATTCAGGAGCAGCAATAAGTGTAATAACAGAGAAATTAAGAAAAGAGTTAGATATACCAATAAAAGGAAAAAGTAACATTACATGTACATTAGCAGATGGAGGAAAGATTGCTTCATTAGGAAAGGTGAATACAGAAATAAAAGTTTATAAAGAATTAGTAATACCAGTAACATTAGATGTAATAGATTCAAAGCAAAAAGAAATGATTATAGGAAATGACTTATTAGATAAATGGAACGCAAATATTAACTATAAAGAAAGGATATTAGAATTAGAAAATGATGAAGAAATAATAGATATACCTGTATGGTATATTAAACAAGTAGAAGAGTTAGAAGAATCTGACTATGAAAGTGAATCAGAAGAATCTGATTATGAACAAGAAGAAGGAAAGAAACTATATACGATAAAAGAAGTGATGGGAGAAAATGAGGAAGTAGTAAGGGAAAATGAGTTTCAGAAGGATAATGAGAGTTCAAGTGAAGAAAGTTCATCTGATGATAGTGAAATATCTAGCGAAAATGAGGATTAAATTATATAAAAAGGGTTAAAATTGTTCCAAAAATGTAAAATTGTTAAGATAATAATAAGAAATAAAACAATAAATAAATTTTAAAATGATAAATGAAAATGGTAAAAATGAAATTAAATGGGAAAAGTTTGATAAAAAGATAAATTTGGGAGAAGTAACAGGTAAAAGAAAAGATGATATAATAAAGATAATTAAAAGTTACGAAGAAATATTTGAATATGATGAAGAAAAATTGGGAAAAGTTAATACTGTTAAACATAAAATTGAAATTAGGGAAGGTCAGGAACCGATAGCACAGAAAAGATATAAGGAGACTGAAGAAAAAGGAAAGTTTATAAAGAAAGAAATTGAACAGTTATTAAAAATGGGAAAAATTAGAAAATCATGGAGCCCATGGGCGTCCCCAGTAACACTAGCAGGAAAGAAAACTGGAAATTATAGATTTTGCATTGACTATAGAAAATTAAATAGTGTAACTAAGTCAGATGCATATCCATTACCGAGAATAGATGAATATTAGAAAAATATAGAATGGCAAGATGGTTCACAAGTTTAGATTTAGCAGCAGGATATCATCAAGTAGAAATGGCAGAAGAGGACAGAGAAAAGACAGCATTTATATGTTCGCAAGGGTTATTTGAATATAATGTTATGCCATTCGGTTTAAAGAATGCACCAGGAACATTTCAGAGATTAATGGATGAAATATTGAAAGAGTATATTGGAGAAAAGTATTAAGTAAGTTAAGAGAAAATAACCTGATTGTGAAATTGAAGAAATGTAAGTTTGGTAAGAGAAATATCGAATTTTTAGGACATATAGTTGGAAGGGATGGTTTAAAACCAGATGTGAAGAAAATAGAGAAAATTAAAGAAATAAAAATACCGGAAACTGTTACACAAGTGAGATCATTTTTAGGATTGTGTTCATATTACAGAAGATTTATAAAGAATTTTGCGAAAATAGCAAAGCCTTTATATCACTTAGTTAAAAAAGATGTACCATTTGAATGGACAGAGAAGCAACAAGGAGCATTCGAAGAATTGAAAATGAGATTAATGGAAAAACCAGTATTAGATTACCCAAATTTTGAAAAGGAGTTTATATTAATAACGGATGCATCAGGAGAAGGATTAGGAGCAGTATTATCTCAGAAAAATGAGGAAAATAAAGAATTTGTTATAGCTTATGCTAGTAGAAGTTTAGTTGGAGCAGAAAAGAATTATGCAATAACAGAATTAGAGTGTTTAGCAATATTCTGGGGAATTAAACATTTCCATAAGTTCTTAGCAGGAAGAAAATTTACGGTTATAACAGATCATTCTGCACTAAAAGGATTAATGAATGCTAAAGTACCTACAGGGAGAAGAACGAGATGGGTAATGGAGTTACAACAGTATGATTTTGAAGTAATACATAGAAGTGGTAAAGAAAATAAGAATGCAGATGCATTATCAAGATTAAAATTTGAGGAAAAGGTTATAAAAAGGGACGTTGAAAGCTCAGATCAAGAAATAATGAAAATGGAGCATAATAAAGAGAAAAAGCTGAAATACGTTAAATTTGAAAATAAATGGTATGAAGCTAAAAGATTTAAAGGAAAATGGGACGACATTAAATATTTTACCAACAAAGAAGCAATACTTCTGAATCTAGAGGAGAAAACAGAGAAAGAATTATTAAGGAAACTAGGAAGAAAGAATAAATCACAAGTTGTTATCGTAGATGGACCAGATGGTACAGGAAAGTCTACTGTAGTAGAAAATATGATCAAACGACTAGAAGAAAAGGATGATTTAAGAATAATATTTAATAAGTTTAAAAGAAGAAGAAATGATGATAGCAGATTTAAAGAACCTTCAAAAGAATATGAATAGTTATTTAGAAAACAGGTTGTGGAAGAAATTAACAGGAAAATAGTTGAATTTACAGATGCAGATATTATAATATTAGATAAGTCACCATATTGTGAATACTTTTACCAAAAGACCAAAAGTTTTGACAGAGGATATATTACTCCATATGGGAATCATAAAATGGAGAAAGAGATATTTAAATATAAAGACATTATAGATAATGCGGTAATAATTTTCTTAGAGAATAAAGAATGTTGGAATAATTATATTGGAAGAGAAACTAAGAAAAGTAATAAAGGACATAAAACATCATATGAAACGTTGAATGAAGAGGAATATATGGATATGGTGAAAATGTTTAAAGAGCATCAGAATATTTATGAGAATAAAGGGAAATATAAGAGAATTAAAATTAAAAACGATGACAAAAGTTGGAAAAAAGTATATAAACGAGTCGAAAAACTATTAAAAAAAATAAAATGACTACTGAAAATATTGGAATAGGAATATATATTTACGTTATACACAGGAATACGAATTATCACTGCGTGTTATTTGAAGATAAAAATATTAGGTTTATTTTACCTTTTGAAGAAGAAATAGAAGATATACTAATTAATGGAAGAAGATAAATATAATGAGATAATTAAAAATATAGATAATGAACAACATTACAGAATAAAAGATGGCTTGTTATATAGAATAAAGGATAATAGAGAATTGAGAGTAGTAAGAAAATATGAGTTCGAAGGATTAATGTATATTGCACATGACCATGAATTATCCGGACATTTTGGAATAGATGCAACACATGAAAGAGTTAAAGAGAAATATTATTGGAAAGAAATGAGACAAGATATAGAAATATATGTTAAATCATGTGATAGTTGTCAAAGAAGAGGAAAACCGATTGGAAAACATGAATTAAATGTAATTAAAGTTAAAGAACCATTTTATCAAATTGGGATAGATGTTGTGGGACCATTACCAATAACAGAAAGAAATAATAGATACATAGTTACGGCTATGGATTATTTTACGAAATGGCCAGAAGCTAGAGCTTTAGAAATAGCAGATGCTAAAGAAATTGCAAGATTCATTTATGAAGATATAATATGTAGACATGGATGTCCAAAGAAGATATTAAGTGATAGGGGAAGTCATTTCAATAATAAATTAGTAGAACTATTAATGAAGGAATTTCAGATAAAGCACAATTTTTTGACACCTTATTACCTGAAGACGAATGGATTAATAGAAAGATTCAACAAGACACTATGTGAATCATTAGCAAAATTGAATAACATTAAAGATTGGGATTTAAAACACAGGTCGAACAGATGTCATTGTCGCAAAATTTGCCTGGAATTTTTCTGGCAAATTGAGAATTATCCCGGTAAATTGGGGTAAATTGTGTTACAATTTTGGGATAATGGAGGTCTTACAATTTGGCAAATTTTGTCAAAATGGCGGAATTCCTACAGAATTCCTAATTCAAATGTTGAGAAATTTTTCAGTAAATTATCATTAAATTGTGGGAAATTTTAGGCAAATCTTTAGTAATGATATGCAAACGAAGTGCAAATTGTGGTGAATTTAGTTAAATTTTTAGTAATTTTATGCAAATGTAATGTAAATTGTGGTGAATTTTAGGCAAATTTTTAGTAATGCTATGCAAACGAAGTGCAAATTGTGGTGAATTTTGTTAAATTTTTAGTAATTTTATGCAAACATAATGCAAATTGTGGTGAATTGTAGTGTATTTTTAGTAATGTTATATAAATTGTTGAAAATTTAGGTGAATTTTTCAACAATGTTGTGCAAACGTAATACAAATTGTGGTAAATTTTGCATTTTTTCGGTAAATGTTAGTTAAATCTTTGAATAATTTAGTGAAATTTAGGATAATTTCGGACAATTGAGTGAAAATGTTTTACCGATTTTGGACAATTGAGTGTAAACGGTATAAAATGCAACATTTTCGGAGACAATTTAGTGAAATTTTGCAATAATTTTGGACAATTGAGTGAAATTTTGCAATAATTTTGGACAATTGTGTGAAATTTAGTAATAATTTTAAACAATTTAGTGTGAACGCCATGACAATTTGAAACACTGGTTTAATAATTTTACATAATTTATTATAATATTATTTATTAATAAATGCACAATTATTATTATTTAACGATAATCTATATTCATCGGATATCCAATGATCTATGGATCCACACCTCTAATTCAATCATATATCAAATGTCCAGTGCCAAATTAGAAGCCGGTGAAAACCTAAAAAGAAAAAAAAAAAAAACGAAGCGTTAATAACGTTTTGTCGAAAAAAATCAAAATAAAGAAACATTTCGAAGTATACCTTCGAAATGTTCCTTTCGTTTTCACTGTTCCCTTTCGTTTCCCCCATTCATTTTCACCTTCCCCGTTCATTTTCACCTTCACCTTTCATTTTACCCTTTTCACCTTTCGTTTTTCCTTTTCCCTTTTCGTTTTTCCTTTTATTTTTGTTTCCTCTTCCCTTTTTGTTTCCTCTTCCCTTTTTGTTTACTCTTTCCTTTACGTTTTACCCTTTCCTTTTAGTTTTCTCTTTTCCCTTAAAGAAAAATAGAAAAAGAAACAAAAATTTAATAAATTAGATATAAACAAAAAAAAAATTTCCCCTAATTCCCTTTCTCTTATTACCTTTCACCAAAGTCCGGATCGTAATTTCGTCCGGCGTTCCTACAAGAAGGAAGAAAAGAAACGTCAGTTAACGTTTCTTAAAAAAAATAATAATTAATTAAGTTTCGCAACACAATGTTGCGAAACTTACCAGTTCGTTTTGATTTCCATTATCCAAACGTCCGGAACCTACAAAAAGAAGGAAAGAAACGTTAGTTAACGTTTCTTTTAATAAAAAAAAAATAAAAAATTAAGTTTCGCAATGTAACATTGCGAAACTTACCATCATCCTAACGTCCGGAACCTACAAAAAGTAAAATAAAGAAATGTTAGTTAACGTTTCTTAAAAAGAAATAAATAAAAATAAAGTTTCGTAACACAATGTTGCGAAACTCACTGGTTCGTTTCGAACTCATCATCCAAACGTCCGGCGTTCCTACAAAAAGAAAAAGGAAACTTAGAAACGTTTCCTTACAAAAAAAAGAAAAAAATTTTTTTCTTAAAAGTTTCGAAGCGTACAACAACATGCTTCAAAACTTACTGATTCGCCTTCCAAAGTCGAATATCAAAGAATCTACAAAAAAAAAAATAGGAAACGTTAGAAACGTTTCCTTACAAAAAATTAAAAAAAAATAATTTTTTTTTAAAAAGTTTCGAAGCGAAACGCTTCGAAACTTACCCTTTCGGTTCCTTGCTTCCCGAAGTCGAATACCGAAAGACCTACACAAAAAAAGAAAGAAAGGAAACGTTAGAAAAGTTTCCTAAAAGAAATTAAAAAAATTCAAAAAGTTTCAAAGCATATGCTTCGAAACTTACCATTTCGAATCCCAAAGAAGCATGCCGAAAGACCTACACAAAAAAAATAAAGGATCGTTAAAAACGTTCCTTATAAAAGTAAAAAAAAAATTTTTTTTTAAAGTTTCGAAGCGAAAATGCTTCGAAACTTACCATCATTTCGTTCCCTCGTTTCCTAAAGTCAAAACATCGAAAATCCTACAAAAAGAAGAAAGGAAACGGTAGAAACATTTCCTTACAACAAAGAATTAAAAAAAAGAATTTAAAAAAGTTTCAAAGCGTTTCGCTTCGAAACTTACCATTGTTTTTCTGAAGGATGATTCCGGGGAAGGGGAAAGGGGAGAGAAAAGGGAAAGAGTGGGAGAAAAATAGGGAAGGAAAAGGGCAGAGGGAAGAGGAAGAAGGGGAGAGAAAAAGGGAAGGTGAAAGTGAAAGAAGGAAGGGGAAAGTGAAAGAGGGAAGGAATGGGGAAAAAAAGAGGGAAGGGAAAGGCAGAGGGAAGAAGAAAGAAAGAAAGAGGTATGGTGAAAGCGAAAGAGGAAATGGGAAAGGACAAAAGAAAAGAAAATTGAGAGCCGTGAAAAAAAAAAATTAAGCTTTTGCTAAAAAAAGCTTAATTTTTTTTTTTTGTTGTACCGCAGCTAAAGCTGCGGTAATTCCGTAATTATTAAGTAATATCACGTGATGCACATGATAAAAATTTAATATAAATAGGGGCTTTTCTCCAAAACTTTTTTTTCTTTTTTTTTATAAATTTAATGATAGATGTATATATATACTTATATATATACATATATATATATCTATCTAATAACTTTACGAAAAGCCCCTCCTTTGTAAACAGGTAGAGGCCATAGAGTACCTATAGGGGGAGAGCCATTGCTGCTCCCTCCGCCTGTTTATAGTGACAAAAAGAGGGAGTCTTCAGTAGTAAGGTTTAGTATTAAATTAAACAACACATCGTGTATATTGAATATACTGATGTGGTTAGTGTTAAATAATGCATATTTTAACGTGATTATAAATATTGTAAATTAAATAATGTTCATATTTTTTACAAATAAATAAAAATTATCCTAACAATTTTAATGTAATTAAGTGTAATGCTACGTTATCCAGTGTAATTGTAGTATTTTTTTGTGTTTTTTAGTGCAATTCCACATTTTCTAGCATAATGTTACATTTTCCAGCATAAATAAAAATTATCCTAATAATTTTAATGTAATTAAGTGTAATGCTACATTATTCAGTGTAATTGTAGTATTTTTTTGTGTTTTTTAGTGCAATTCCACATTTTCTAGCATAATGTTACATTTTCCAGTATAATGCGAAATTTTCTAAAAAATATGATAATTGTGGTACTTTTTAGTGTAATGCTACATTGTCTAATGTAATTGTGGTATTTTTTAGTGCAATGCCCCATAATCTAGTATAGTGCTACATTTTTTAGTGTAATTTAGTGTAATTTAATGTAATGTGGAATTTTCCAAAAAATGTGATAATTGTGATACTTTTTAGTATAATTTGGTGAAATGCTACATTTTCCAGTATAATGCCATATTATTGAGCATTTTCAAAAAAAAATCATAACATTTTAACATTCTGACGAAAATGAAACATTTGACCAAAAAAACATAAAATTTGCTGAAAATATGCAACATTTGACAAAAAATATAGAATTTTCATAAAAAAATGCACCATTTGCCAGAAAATCGGAATATTTGACAAAATTTGATTTTAATTGACAATGTTATAACAATTTTATGAAATGTTATTACA